ACGCCCGGCGGGGGGGGGGGGGGGGGGGAGGATGGCCACACCACAATCCCTTCTTTTCCATTCTCCTTTTGGGATCTTGGGCATGCATGCACACACACCCGGCATGAGTTTAAGCCACTAGGTCCGGGACTCGAACCTTGGTGAACTACATGGGAGTCCAGCGACGTAGTCATTATGCTATTTGCTGGTCCCTATATATATATATGTATATGTTTTTAAATTTTGTTTTGTAATTTTGGTATAGCATGTGGACACTCACCAGAGAGAGAGAAAGTTAGAAAGCACTTCCCAGAGGGGATGTCCACGCCTCAATCCCTTCTCCTCTGTTCTCCTCTGGCATTTTGGGTATGCACGCACACACACCCAGCATGCTTTTTAATCCTCCAGGTCTGGGACTTCAACTGCACAGTTGGTCAGCTGAGATCCAACTGCTTTAACCACCATACCTCTAGCTGACCCTCATTTTTGTTTTCTCTTATCCTCTTTTTTCTAATTTTGCTCCACTTTTGGAAGATTTTTCTCTAATTTTTCTTTCAACTCTTCTACTGAGTTTTCATTTCCATGATTCTATTTTAAATTTCTAAAGCTTTTTTCCATAAATATAGTTTTCTAAAATGGCTTCTTTTTCTGGCCGTAAACATGCAATATCTTATCTGAGCATATTAGTGATAGTTTTCAAAGTTTATTCTCCCCTACAGTCTCTTTTCTCCCATCGCCTTTTTCCAGTTGTGTGTTTCATTCTCAGATTTCAGTCATATCCTAGAGATCCTCAGTCGGCTACTCTAACTGGGAATGGTGTACCCGAAGGTGAACAGAAGAGGGGGTGTGTGGCTAGTACTGACCCACTGGGGCCTTCACCATACATCACGTAGGCATGTCCTTGTCAGTATCTTCAGATCTTTCTGTTGGGGTGGTCAAACTCTCCAGTGAAGGCATCCAGTCATCTGCCCAATGAGTGTGTGTGTATTCCCCATCAGTCTTCCAGACCAGAAGAGGGCAAAGCGTAGGGGGTCTTAGCACAGAGTATGTAAACTCGATTCCCCTTCTTTTTAAGTGTTGTACTCTCTGTGTATCTTTGGGCAATAAACCTGTCAGGTCTTCTGGGGGGTGGGGAACCTATATATGAGCTGGGGGAGGGGACCCTGAGGTCCAGCTGCTTCTTAAATGACTCCAGTTGCAACAGAACTTCCAGAGGAACCTGATGATGTCCGT